TATCTCACAATTAAATCCACCTTCATTCTCTATCACTCTTAGATTTGCAACATTTTCCAAAAACGGCAATTGACCAACCATTTCCCAATCACTACTACGTGTTATCGAGAGGTGTTTACATGAATTTTTAATGACATGAAACCACTGTTTGGAAACCAATGCACACCTCTGTACAATAAATTTAAAATCATCGTGAAAAGATAAAATTTCAAAGAGTGAATCGTCAGAGAATAGATTATTTTCTTGTATTTTCGAAAATGAAGAAGTGATGGAATGTTTTGGTTGTGTGATCATTTTTTTTAAATATTAATTTTAATATTTAAATTAAGCCATAAAAAATATTCGGAATATTTTTCGGAACCACAAGCGAAGAAAGATGTAAAGCATAACAGTGATTGAATAAATAGAGCAGGTTGTAGCAAGCTTTTCAAAACAACAAACTTACTGAACCAACAATCAATAGATTCGTTGCCTTCACTGTTCATACAGTCAAAGACTGTAGCGGGATAGTCGCCATATTCCTGGCAGGCTTCCCGTCTAAATTATTAAATGAAAACAAATAATATTACCAAAACCAAAAGGTTTGAAGAGGAGGTGTAGTTTCTGATTCTTGAATCACAATTCTAAGGTGGTTATTATTAATTTTGAACATACTTACATCTTGTTTGGAGAAGAGAAACAAATAATAATAAAATTTAATTTTTAAAAGAAAAAACAATATTAATTTACTCATTGCTCCCTTACATTGGCTGTAAAATAATCATGAAAATATCTAAATAATTATACAAAATGTTCTTGAGCACAATACTGTAATCATCAACTTCTCTACGGAGATGCACCACCTATTCTGTTCAACACCACACTAAAAGAGCAAAAATCATCAACAACCGGTGGCTGTAATTATCCACCTAATGGATAATGTGTGTTGAGATTTGAGTTATTTAGGCTAAATTTCATATAGAAATTCATGTCACCATTTAGAAACGATCGGGAATTTGATCCTCAAACAAAAAAATCGACAACAAATGAAATCGAGCTGGCATGTGATACTCCTCCTCTTGATGTTGGCACAATCTTGCGAAATGTTACTGGCCAAAAACTCTGTATCTTTCGACAAGCTCTCAACTGCAAAGGTTCTCCGAGTGGAAACCTTTCTGACTGCTTTCGTCTGGAAAGAACATGCAGTAAATGTGCAAAAACAAGACATTTTCAACATGTTCTCTTCCATCTCACCATCTGCTGCCACTCTCAAAGTTGCAATAGTGGGAACAAGAAATTCCACTATCAAACAACTGTGGTCAGATATTTTACAATTTAAAAACATTTCTAGAAGTGTAGTGGAAGATTTTCAAAGCATCAAACTTGGTTCATGCAAATTTATCAACATCTTTGAAGAGTATGATATTATTATTAGTGAACCTTATGAATTTTATACGAAACTGAAAGGTAGTAGAGTTTTGAGTAAGAAAAGATCCAAGTCTGAATTTTTAGAGTCCAGTGATTTTATTCCTCTCCCACTATTTCCTCTCTCTGTAATTCAAAGTGATAACGTAAATGTTTCAACAAGTTTCGAATGGTTAAACTCCTCTGCTGTTTGCTCTGAACACAATTATGACACAAAATTTCATGCAATTGGCCAATACGAAACACAGTGGTTAAATATCTATAACGATTTTGGAAAGATTAGAGAGACTGACATTGAATTTCTGTCTTGGGTGAATGGTTTCAAGGTCGAAACTCTTTCCCAAATTGAAATGGAATCTTACATTACCAAACTTCGAATTGACAACCATATTCCAGTTTCTAACATTACTCTGAATGTTTTTCTTTCAAATCTACTCCCTTCTACTTGTACCTACTGTACAAATGAATATTGTACCCAGATGAGCTTTGTTCCATCTGATTATTGGATCATTCCAGTTAGCGTACTTGTCATTATATATTATGTAATTTTATTTGCTACTAAATCATTTCAGTTACCAGCCATTAAGAGAAGATTGTTAACTCCTTACACACCAATTGTATGTGTCTACTTTGAGACTCAGGAAATGTACGCACTCGATAGTTATTGTGCCAAAGTAAGATTAACGATTTTAGGAACTGTTATGAATTGGGTAATTTTGATTGCATATC